CACTTGTCAATTGATGGGCATTTGGGCTGTTCCCAAGATTTAGCTATTACAAATTGTGCCACTATAAACATTGGTTTGCATATATTGCTGTGGTATGATGCTTTTAATTTTTTCGGGAAGATACCAAGAAGAAGAATAGCTGGGTCAGGGCCGGGGATTTAGCTCAGTGGTGCTGCTGCCTGCCTTGCAAGTGCAAGGTCCTGAGTTCAATCCCCGGTTCAAAAAAATAGCTGGGTCAAATGGGACCTCTGGTTTTAGTTTTTTGAGAAATCTCCACACTGATTTCCACAGTGGTTGCACCAGTTTACACTCCCAGCAGTGGAGAAGGGTTCCGTTTTTCCCCGCAGTCCCGCCAGCATTTGTTATTGGTTGCTTTCTGGATAGCAGCCGTTCTTTATGGAGTGAGGTGGAATCTCAGTGTTGTTTTAATTTGCATCTCTTAAATGATCAATAATGTTGAATATTTTCTCATGTATTTATTTGCTATTTCTAATTCTTCGTCTGAGAAGTGTCTATTCATTTCAGATGCCCATTTTTGCATTGGGTCTTTAAAATTGGAGGTCTGATTTTTTTGAGTTCTTAATATATTCTAGATAATAGTCCTTTATCTGAATAACTGGTAAAAAAATTTTCCCATGCTGTGGGTTGTCTTCACTCTGTTGGTGATTTCTCTTGCTATGTAAAAGCTTTTTTTGTTTTGTTTTTTTTTGGTACTGGGAATTGAACTCATGACCTTGCACTTGCCAGGCAGTTGCAGTCCCACTGAGCTAAATCCCTGGCCCATGCAAAAGCTTTTTAATAAGATGAGGTCCCAGTTGTTGATTCTTTATAGTATTTCCCATGTGGTCTGGGTTTTGTTCATGAGGTCTTTGCCTACTCCTATGTCCTCAAACATTCTACCTATTTTCCCTTCCAGCAGATTTAGTGTTTCCATTTTTTTTTTTTTGGTACCGGGGATCAAACTCGGGACCTTGTGCTTGCGAGGCAGGCACCAGAACCACTGAGCTAAATTCCCAGCAGAGTTTCCATTTTTAATATTTAGATTTTTGATCCATTTTGATTTTAGGTTATACACTAAAATTTTTTTTAAATTTTGGATGTAGTGCATTGATAGCACTTGCTGAGGTAGGTTCAATATCTAGCTCTGAAAAACAGAAACAAAGCTACATCCATTACATATGTGTGATTGTCAATTTGACAGTTATGCCTTATTAAAAATAGACAAGGGGCTGGGGATTTAGCTCAGTGGTTCCGGCACCTGCCTTGCAAGCACAAGGACCCAAGTTCGATCCCTGGTACCAAAAAATAAAATAAGGAATAAAAATTTATACTATATATATTCTCCAGTTTAGTGGAATCAAGTAAAAAATCGATAACCAAAAGACAGTAGGAAAATCTTCAAATACAAATTAATTGGCATATATCTGAGCAATCCATGGGTCAAAGAGAACATTTCAAAGTGAGATTATAAATAGATTGAACTGAACAAAAATGAAAATACAGCATCTCAAAGTTTATGAGAAGCAGGGCATGAAGATATATACCTGTACTCTTAGATCCCTACAGCCCAGGAGTTTGGGGCCAGCCTAGGCAACATAATGACACATCCCAAAACAAAGCAAAACAAAACAAATAACAGAGAAAAGATATTAAAAAGAAAGAAAACTACAAGTTAGGTCTTCTTAGGGACACAAAAGTTTCACACCAAAATATTAGCAAATCAAATCCAGCAATGTACAAAAAGAATAATACACCTGATCGAGTGGGTTTTATTCTAGGTATGCAAGATTGGTTCAGTTTAGAAAAGCAATCAGTGTAGGCCAGGCATGGTAGCTCCTGCCTGTAATCTCAGCTTGCTGAGGCTGAGGCAGAAGGATCACAAGTTTGAGCCCCAACTGGGCAACTTGGTGACTTAGCAAAACCATGTCTCAAAATAAAAATTTTTAAAGAGCTAAGGATGTGCCATAAATGTAGCTCAGTGGCACCACGCCTATCTGTCAGGCTCAAAGTCCTGAGTTTGATCCCCAGTACCAGTGGGAAAAAAAAAAGAGCTAAGGATGTATCTCAGTGCAAAGGCCCTGAGTTCAATCCCCAGTACTGAAAGAGAACGCTCAGTATAATCTGCTGTAGAGGAAAAATTACATTACTTGACATATGAAAACCATTTGAATCTGATACTATTTATGATTTAGAAAAAGAAAATTAGGAATGGAGAGAAAATACCTCCAATTGATAAAGAACATCTACAAAAACCTTTAGCTAACATTGTACTTGCTGGTGAAAAACTGAATGCTTTTCCTTTAAGATTGAGAACAAGGCAAGACCCACCTTCACACATTGCTAATGGCAGTATAAATGGTACAGCCACTCTGAAAGAGTTTGGTAGTATATTTTTAAACAAAATGCATAGTCATCATATGACCCAGCAATTGTATTCTTTGTCATTTGTCTCAGATAAATGGAAAATTAGATTTACACAGAAAATTTGTACTTAAATAATCATAACAGCCTTAGTTATATAGCCAAAAACTGTAAACGACCCAGTTATCCTTCGTTGGATAAATGATTAAACAAATTGCCATATTCGTACCCTGAAATGCTACTCAGAAGTGAAAAGGAATGAGCTATTGATATGTGCAATAAATTGAATGTACTCCAGAAAATTATGCTGAGTAAAAAAAGCCAAGGTCAAAAGATTATATTTTTCCAGGTGAGATGGAGTCTGCCTGCAATCCTAGCTGTCCCAGAGGCCAAGACAGGAGGATCGAAAGCTTGAGGCCAATCTAGGCAACTTAGCAAGACCCTGTTGCAAAATGAAATTTTTAAAATGGCTATGAGTGAAATTAGTGGTAGAGCCCTTGCTTAACATGCGCAAGGCCCTAGGCTCAATCCCTAGAACTGGAAAAAAAAAGTTACACTCTGTGTATTCAGTGTGATTCCATTTATATAACATTCTTGAAATGAGAGAATTATGGAAATATAGAACAGATTGTTTTTGCCACATAGGATGTAGGCAGGGGGTGGTAGAAGTTAAGTGGGTAAGGTTATAAAAGGACAACCAACACATAGGGTACTTGTTTTGTTTTGTTTTTTGTTTTTGGTACCGGGGATCGAACTTGGGTCCTTGTGCTTGCGGGGCAGATGGCGGAACCATTGAGATAAATCCCGGGCCCCACATAGGATGCTTGTGATGGAACACTTCTCTATTTGGTCGTGATACATCAGTCTATACATGATAAAGTGCGTGGAACTAAATAGACCCACATATACATGACTATTAGTAAAATAAGAAATTTGAATAAGATCAGTGAACTATATAAATGTCAATATCCTTGTTGAGGTTAATTGTACTGTATAAGATAGTATCATGGAGGGAGACTGGGTAATGATATACATACTGGATCTTTCTGTATTAACTTTTGTAGAGATTTTTGATATTGAACTTTTTACTTACCTTTTCTTATTTACACCATAGACATATTTGTTTTTGGTCAGTTTAGGATGAGTAAAAGACTTTCTTAATGTACTTTGCCTATTCTCACCCTCCAGAAGGGGGGGGGGTTGGATAATAAGCATATCTAAAACATATGAGAAATCTATGTATAGAACTGTTATACAGTAACTATATGGGGATGCAGTTATTAGTGGATATGTATGTGTAGTTTAATTGAACTGTAATATAAACTTGTATTTAAGTACTGAAAAAATTGACTAGCATGGTGGTACATGCCTATAATCCCAGCCTGGGGAGTAAGGAGAGGCAGGAGAACTGAGAGTGGACAGCCAGGACTACATAGTACGACCCTGTCTCAAAAGAATAAAACAAAACCAAAGATGCTGAAGGAAACTTTAGACCACAAATACTATTAATTGCCACGAGTTTGAGGCAAACCTGGGCTACACATTGAGACCTTGTTTCAAAAGACCAAAACAAAACAAACAAACAAACAAACAAAATATATATATATATATATATATATATATGTAACACTGCACTATAGGACTAACCAAACAATCCAGAACAAATTTTGACTGTGATAAAGTTAAAATTAGTTCATTTTTTCTTCATTCAACAAGTATTGTTGATTACCTACTATGCAGCTGGAAATTACAACAAAATCTCTGCCTTCACTGAGTTCACATCTAATAGAATTCCAAAGGAATAACAGTGGTTGAACATTACAAGATTAAGGTAATATTAATAGTCTTTCAAAAATTTCTACGCTGCCTTTTTTTTGTTTTTTTTGAAACAGGGTATTACTATGTAGTCCAGGCTGGCCTTGAATGCTCTGTGTACCCCAAGATAGCCTCAACTTGAAAAATTCAAGTTTCCTAAAACATTAATTTAGAAAAGAATACTTTATGAATTACTTTGGTATTTCTTGAATTTTTGTTGAGAAATATTCTGACAATCTCATTGCCCTTTAAAAGTTGAGCCCCAGGCATGGTGGTGCATGCCTGTAATTCCCAGCACTTGGGAGGCTGAGGCAGGAGGATTGCTGACAGTTCAAGGCTACCCTGGACTGCAGCAAGACCCTGCCTCAACAAAAAAGTTGTGAGAATTGCCAGCCAGCCGTATGCTAAGAGGAGACTAACAGTTGTAATGGAGCAGTTTAATGTCCTGGAGATTTCCAGCCTGTAGATTATAACCTGGTCATGTTGAGTAGTATAATTCAAAGCACTTGGGAGGACCTTAAGAGATATAGCTTGATATAGTTGAACTACTTAAGCTGCTGGCAGGGCTGGGGGGTTAACTGGTAGAATATTTGCCTACCATGCATGAAGCCCTGGATTCATCCCCGGCACTCTGTGTATGTGTTTAAACTTCATTCTGGGGGCCAAACCAAGAGTCCTTCAAAACAGGGAGGGTACATCTTGATCCACCAGTTTTGCATCATGCTTCTGTTAGAGCATCAAACACAGACATTTAAATTATAGAATTTGTTGATCATTTTTGTGATTGTAAACTTTTCTTTCTTTTTGTCTGTGTGTCTATACAGCAATCAAAACTACTGGATGTAACTTAGATAAGGTAAATATTCTTCCTAGTGCCCTGATCACTCCACTCATATCAAGCAGTATGATTAAGAGTGAAGATGTTACTCCAATGGAAGTAACAGCAGAAAAAAGATCTTCCCCTATTTTTAAGGTGAGTTATATTGACTAGTGCCCCAAATTTTAACCTCACATATAAAAATTGCTATATTTACTTTACTGTTTTTCTCACTGTTTTTGTTTTAAATTCTTAATGAATTTTGCTTTTCAGAGTGAATGTTTTATACATTTTGACAAGCATAATTTATATCTGTGGTTTGAGGAATATTAATAAATAATTTTTAGTTGGGCTTGGTGGCACATACCTGTAATCCCAGCACTATGGAGGCTGAGGTGGGAGGATTGTGAATTCAAGGCTGGCCTGGACTACATAGCAAAACCCAGTAACCACCCCCACCCCACCCCGAAAGTCTATTAGCATTTTCAGAATTAAAAGATTTTTATTCCATTTCTTCCCAGTCTGTTCCCTTAATTCCTGCTCCCTTTTTCACTTTTCTCCATTGTAATGTTACTGATGATCCACAAAATGGGAAGTATTTTGAGGTCTGCTGATCACAAAGCATAGAATTAATGTTCCCTTATTACCTTTAACTTGCCAAGGCATATCAGTAGTTGATTATTAACCTATTTTCTTGTTTGACTCTTGGCCTATAATACTTTAAAATCAGACATTATGTTATCATGGATTGTCATTGTCTTGCACCTGTTTTATTATTTGAGTGGAAAATTGGTCCTACGTATATTTTTAGAACAGTAATACTTTTTAAAGTATCATGTGTACTTATTTAATGTTTACATATATATATATATTATTTGGGGGTTTTTGTTTTTTAGACTACAAAGACAGTTGGATCAACTCAACAAGCTTTAGAAAATATCTCTAACATACCAGGAAATGGGTCCTTCTCATCACCATCATCTTCCCACTTACCTTCGGAAAATGAAAAGCAGCAGCAGCTTCAGTCCAAGGCATATAACACAGAAACGCTGACTACCATCCAAACACAGGACATCTCACAGCCTGGGACCTTTCCAGCAGTTTCTGCCTCTAGTCAGCTACCTGGCAGTGAGGCACTACTCCAGCAGGCTACACAGTTTCAGGCAAGAGAAACTCAGTCTAGAGAAGTATTACAGTCAGATGGTACAGTGGTTAACTTGTCACAACTAACTGAGGCCTCACAACAACAGCAGCAGTCACCATTACAAGAACAAGCACAGACTTTACAGCACCAGATTTCATCAAATATTTTTCCCTCACCAAGTAGTGTGAGTCAGCTACAAAATACTATTCAGCAGTTGCAGGCAGGAAGTTTTACAGGCAGTGCTACTAGTAGCAACAGTGGAAGTGTTGATTTGGTCCAGCAAGTTTTAGAGGCACAACAACAGCTATCTTCAGTTTTATTTTCTGCTCCAGATGGCAATGAGAATGTTCAAGAACAGCTCAGTGCAGACATTTTTCAACAAGTCAGTCAAATTCAAAATAGTGTAAGCCCTGGAATGTTTTCCTCAACAGAGCCAGCTGTCCACACCAGGCAAGATAATTTAATACCTGGAAGAGCTGAAAGTGTTTGTCCACAGACTGAAGGCACATTGTCTAATCAGCAGCCGCAACAGCAACAACAGCAAGTGATGGAACCATCAGCTGCAATGGTGATGGAAATGCAACAGAGTATTTGCCAGGCAGCTGCCCAAATTCAGTCAGAGTTATTCCCTTCAACTCCTTCAGCAAATGGAAACCTTCAACAGTCACCAGTTTACCAGCAGCCTTCTCACATGATGAGTGCACTGTCTGCCAACGAGGACATACAAATGCAGTGTGAATTGTTTTCTTCTCCTGCAGTTTCTGGAAATGAAACTTCTACAACCACCACACAGCAAGTTGCAACCCCTGGGACTACCATGTTTCAGACACCAAGCTCAGGAGATGGAGAAGAAACTGGAGCACAAGCAAAACAGATTCAGAACAGTGTCTTTCAGACGATGGTCCAAATGCAACATAGTGGGGACAATCAGCCTCAAGTTAACCTTTTTTCATCTACAAAAAGTATGATGAGTGTTCAGAATAGTGGTACCCAGCAACAAGGTAATGGTTTATTCCAGCAAGGGAATGAGATGATGTCACTTCAGTCTGGGAATTTTTTGCCACAGTCTTCTCACTCACAGGCTCAGCTTTTTCATCCTCAGAATCCTATTGCTGATCCTCAGAACCTTACCCAGGAAACTCAAGGTTCTATTTTTCATAGTCCAAATCCTATTGTCCACAGTCAGACTTCTACACCATCCTCTGAACAAATGCAACCTCCAATGTTTCACTCTCAGAGTACCATTGCTGTGTTGCAGGGCTCTTCAGTTCCACAAGACCAGCAGTCACCCAACATATTTCTTTCCCAAAGTCCTATGAATAATCTTCAAACTAACACAGTAGCCCAAGAAGAACAGATTTCATTTTTTGCACAGAACTCAATTTCTTCACTTCAGTCAACATCAAACACTGAACAGCAAGCTGCTTTCCAACAGCAGTCTCCAATATCACATATCCAGAACCCTATGCTTTCCCAAGAACAGGCTCAACCTTCCCAACAAGGTTTATTTCAGCCTCAGGTCTCACTGGGCTCCCTTCCACCTAATCCAATGCCTCAGAACCAACAAGGAGCAATGTTCCAGGCACAGCACTCAATAGTGGCCATGCAGAGTAATTCTCCGTCTCAGGAGCAACAGCAGCAGCAACAGCAACAACAGCAACAGCAACAACAGCAACAGAGCATTTTATTCAGTAATCAGAATACCATGGCTACAATGGCATCTCAAAAGCAACCACCACCAAACATGATATTTAGCCCAAATCAAAATCCAATGGCTAGTCAGGAGCAACAGAACCAGTCGATTTTTCACCAACAAAATAATATGGCCTCAATGAATCAAGAGCAGCAGCCCATGCAATTTCAGAATCAGCCCACAGTTTCCTCACTTCAGAACCCTGGTCCTACTCCATCTGAGTCTTCACAGACCTCCTTGTTCCATAGCTCTCCTCAGATTCAGTTGGTACAAGGGTCACCCAGTTCTCAAGAGCAGCAAGTTACACTCTTCCTCTCTCCAGCATCCATGTCTGCCTTGCAGACCAGTATAACCCAACAAGACATGCAACAGTCTCCTCTTTATTCCTCTCAGAACAACTTGCCTGGAATCCAAGGAGCCACATCTTCACCTCAACCACAGTCTACTTTATTTCACAACACTGCAGGAGGAACAATGAACCAACTACAGAATTCTCCTGGCTCATCTCAGCCGACTTCAGGAATGTTCTTATTTGGCATTCAGAATAGTAAGAAACTCTTAATTTCTCATTACTCAATTGAAATGATTACATTATTATTTCAGAAGCAAAATACAGTAGTTTTAAGAGCATAGATCTTAGTTGTAATTATACCAATTAAAACCTATGAGATATTAGACAATTTAGTTGACCGTTATAAGCCTAAATTTCCACACTGTAAAATAACAATAATATTATATACTTGACAAGGGCAAGGAGAGGATCAAATGTGGTAATGTATAAAAATGTGTGTGTTTGGGGCCGGGGATTTAGCTCAGTGGTTCCGGCACCTACCTCGCAAGCACAAGGTCCTGAGTTCAGTGCCTGATACCAAAAAAAAAAAAGGTATTTGTTTGACATTTTTAGCTATAAACCTGAAAGGAAAATGAAGTAGAATGACAGATAATATCTCAGCCAATTAAAGTAAGTAGTTTGCAAGGAGGTAGGCACCTGTCTTTAATGTTCATTTATCAAGGAAGAATTACATAGGAGTTAAGGTGATATCTAAGAAAAGTTGTATTTTTATACTATTTAGAAGAAACCTAAGATGAATTCCAGTATCATTCGGTGAAAACCTTCTTCTCAGACTGTCAGGTGCCTCACTTTTAATAATATACTGGATAAATACAGTGACAAATTTCCCCTGGCAACTAATTTTCTTATGAATCATAACTAATCATGTAGCTTCTGTTTTCAATGTCTCTGCAGACTGTAGTCAGCTTTTAACCTCTGGACCAGGTACATTGCCAGAGCAGTTGATGGCCATAAGTCAGCCAGGCCAACCACAAAACGAGGGGCAGTCACCTGTGACAACACTTCTGTCTCAGCAAATGCCAGAGAATTCTCCACTGGCATCCTCTATAAACACCAACCAGAACATCGAAAAGATTGATTTGCTCGTTTCTTTGCAAAACCAAGGGAACAGCTTGACTGGCTCCTTTTAACTGGATATGTAAGTATTACATTTTCGCTTCTTATGGAAAAGGATCAGTATATTTTTTCTTTTTACAGATTTTGGTTAAGTTAAAGCACTGGTTAGACTATAATCTATTAAAACACTGATTTCTCACAAGATGGTAAATTACTCTGAATGATGGTGTATGGTCATATTGTTAATATTGGGCATTCCTTCTGGTTCTAAGCTTTCTTTGCCTAGGAATAAGAAATCTGATGAATGCAAATTGTTTCTCTCATACTATATGTTGGATATGATCATGCCCCAGTTCTCTTTTCTTTAAGAGATATTTAGTGAGAAAAGTATGTGGAAGAATAAATATGATAAAACTCTACTTACAGTCCTGTAATATATTTTGGGATCTTTCAGGGAGACACAATTTATAAGTTCTTTCCCTTTCTAGTGAGTTATATTAAATTTTTCTTTTCTTTCTTTCTTTTTCTTCTCTCAGAATTTCCTTGGGGGAAAAATCGTGATTCCAGGATGTCCTGAGATCTTGTGGTTCTGTGAAGCTTACTGAACTATATTACTAAAAAAATAAAAATAAAAAACTGAGTACATGGATAGATTTTATTCTTACTGCAAAAGAGCACATCTTTGCTGCCTGTTGCAGTAATTAGCCACCAATGTTAACATCTTCATATTTTATATTCCTAATAACAGTGATGACTGAGAATCTGTTTGAATTTCTAACTGACAGAATTAATTGTTGCCATTTTCCTACGCACAATTTCTTTAAAAGTGCAGTTTAAATTCAAAGTTGGACAGCTCAGTTACTGCTATTAGAAAATAATATTTGTCATGTTTACTTTTGATCATTATTTTCTCTCACATTTTAGTCACACAAAGGTTTATGAAGAGGTAAAGTTCATTAATAACTAAGGCTGATTTTTTTTTTTTAATATGAAAAGTACAGCGGTTGGCCAAAGTGAAGGAATCTTTCAGTTTTTATGGAAAAATTGAAGGGGTAACGTTCTGACAAGTAAGCTGTATTAAGAACTCTACACAAATTAGAGGACTCTGGATTAAACACAAAAGCAGATGACACACTTTACAAAACTGGGGACAGCTGGAATGCTATTGATTTTATTTTTCAGAGAGTTAGTTCTCTGTATTTCTACTAAGAGGTTTAGCCATAACTGCATAGAAAAATTGTTATTTTGCTCTATGAAAAATGAAGGAGGTAATACATGGTAAATTATGTTCTGATATCCTCCTACAGTTTAACTGACAGTAATTAGTCTGTTTTCTTCTTAATCCAGTCACAGGCTGGAATTCCCTTTTATATGCATCTCTTATTTTCCACTTCCTTTTCACTTCAATTTAGACAACTATTAATATACTACTGTGACCCTGTAGCAACTTAAATGGAAAGGCCACTTTGACCCCAGGTGACCTAGCGACTCTGCAGCACAGGGCAAGGAGTACTCTTTTGGAATTATTGGGAGCTGATTCCTGAAAGAACAATGCATCTATTTCCCCACACACCCTGCCCCCATGAACGGTGCTGTTCTGAAGTCTTTAAATTTTTTCCTCTAATAAAAAACAGTATACATTTTCATTTGAAAAACAAAGGCAAACTAAAACTTGTTGAAACATTACTTCTCCCTGAGCTGCAGTGAATGTAATTCACTTGTCACCTCAGTGCTTTAAAGTTGAAGAGGTCGCTTACCTAATGGCTCCCCCAAGCCTTAGGCTTTACAGGGTCATATCATTGGCTTAAAATTAAGTGTACTAACTTGTGTTACATCTATAAAGAGCAAAATAACACTCCAGAACTTGCAGATGTAGCGTTAGTTATACAGTTTTGGGTGTTCTTGCCACCCATGGGATGCCTGCTTCTAACTACCACCTGTGTCAAGATATGTGCTTATGTCTAATTTTCCTTTGGGCATGTGGAAAGCTGTCAATGCAGTATAAGGCCAACGTGTGTGTGGGTTCTATGTACTGATAAAAATTTTGGTATCCTTGTCCATTTGTTTTTTAAATGTACAAAAAATAGCCTGTTAATTGTTGTTGGAAGCTACTTTTCTGTTTGATTTTTTTTTTTTTCCCTCTTCCTATCCTATACATTTAGTTGAACTGTGTGGAATTGTGGTGTTGGTTTTGTTTATATAGCTAGATTTTATCCTTTCTGTGATGTCTTCCTTTGTTCTTTGAATGTGCTATTCTTCTGTTTTTCTCTTTATTCTCCTATATACTTCCTCCCATTCCCCACTTTCTTTCTTTCTTTCTTTTTCTTTTCTTTCTCTCTCTCTTTCTTTCCTTCTTTCCTTCCTTCTTTCTTTCTCTCTCTCTCTGTCTCTCTCTCTCTCTCTCTGAGAGGCATTGAATTATGTTTTCAGTAGTACAGGCTTCTTGCCGATATGAAGGGAACTTTTCAGAAAGAGACCTACTCTAGGTCATTTAATTTTGAATACAGTTTCAATCGTTCAAGTTTTGGATGGTTTATATCTAATGTGTGTTTCATTTTTTTGGAAAGCTATATTTTGTATTTAGGAAATGGTATACTATTTTGCTATTTGTACTGAGTGAGTACATTGGCATAAATATAGAAATTTATATATATACATATATATAAACTATTCTTTTTTTGCCACACATTTTTGTGGTAAATTTGTGAGTTTGTCTGATGTTCTACCACAACGTGGCGTCTGATAACAGTGAGGGGGGGTTTGTTATGTCTTTACTGAGTATTTAAGTACCTTTTGAAACAAATGACGTGTTCATCTGTAGCCATTCCATCAGGCAGTTCCTTGATGTTATTAGTGGGCTAAAGGCAGCTTCCTGTGTGTTTGCTGGATCTTTCACTCAGCAAAAAGTTAATGAGTAAGGAAACCTATTGAGACAGTTGTGTCAAGTGGTGTTTCACAAGAATGAGCCATTCAGTCTTTGCTCACTACGTATTTAATATTTTATTATTGTTATTGTTAATTGGCTTTCTGTATTCTATGCCTTTTATTTATAAAAACACTAAAAATCCCCATGTTTGTAATTTTAATAACATTTTTCCCATCTTGTAATATCCAGAGCTACTTTATAAATTCTCTGAACAAAAAGTATTTTTCTCAATATATCTCCTTCCCTGTCCCCAGTCAGGAAAAATTACCCAATATAGTTCAGGTTTTGAGAAGAATCAGCCACACAATCCAGTGCTTCGGTTTTAAAATGTAAAACTCTAAACCCTAGAGGGCTCCCTATAATGTCAGAGAAATCAAACCCAGCAGGTATTAAAAAAAAAAAAAACAGGGCCAGGGATTTAGCTCAGTGGTTCTGCCGCCTGCAAGGTCCCAAGTCCGATCCCTGGTACCAAAAACAAAAACAAAAAAACCCAAAAAAACTACATTTATTTCTGAATTTTCTTCTGAGAATGTGTAGGATACTCAAGAAGTCTATTTGTTCAAGTTCCAATTAGAATGTGTGTTAATACTGCACCATGAATGGTGACAAGAAGACTGGCTTGTGTGGTGCTTCTGTTCTGTGGTTTAGCAAGAGGTTTATCCTTACAAAGTACTGATTGGCAATGCCAAGTCACTGGGACCAATTTTCTGTTTTATAATACCTAGGTTTAGAACAGAAGATACACCTGAACCGTAGTGGTTTGATTGGATGGAGGCATAAAATCCAATTTTTATTGTCATAAATTTTGTGGTTATTTATACAAGGGCTGTGATATGCTACCATATTCTTAGTCAATAATGATAGTTTTTTGTTTTTTTACATTATTAAATGTTCCTTACCCCTAAAGGTCAATGTTAAATTCAACATTCAATATATAATTTGGTCACAAAGAGTATTTGTCTTTTAATTGAAGAGTTAGCTCAGTGGTTGATACTTATTCTAATAATGCAGTTTCCTAATTACGTTTACACGTTGCAGCTGGAAACTGCAGAAAACTCAGTGAGCCAGCAAAGGCCTTGGAAACAACACTTTATTAATTTATGGCAGAAAGACCAAAATAAACTGTGAACCACATTTTTTTATGCTGTTACATTCATTTATTCTTGCTTTCAGCAACTCACACAAATGCTTGGAGCTTATCTCATTGTCTTTCTCTGTCTTTCCATGTGAGTTACTCCTTCTTATCATTCCATTATATATCTACACCAGTAGAAGATAGTTAGAAATCATATTTTGCTTCTCAGTTTTATCATATTAATATGATAAGAGTATCAGGTTACTTATGATTTAGAATATCATGTTGTTATTTAGCCAATGAAAATCTGTTTTACCCAGTCTCCCTAGAACAGGTTTCAAAGGGCTTTGTTCATTATAGAAGCAGTTTTTGTAAGGGGCCGGCTGGCCTGCCTGGCTGCCTGCCTTCTTGCCTTCTTGCCTTCCTTTCTTCCTTTCTTCCATCCTTCCTCCCTCTCTCCTCCCTCCCTTCTTCTCTCCCTTCCTCCCTGTTCTTATTCCTTCTCCTCCTTCTTTTCTTTCCTCTCATTTTCCTTCCATCCTAATTTGCTTTTTTTTTTTTAATATAATGTGCTTGAAATTTCAATATAGTGTATTTCTTGCCCATGAAAACCTTGGCTAATCTACCCATGAAAAAGTGTCAGAGGAAGGTGATGCATCTGTGTCCCTTCAGAACTAAGATAATTCATTCCTTTTGACCTTTTAAGCCATCTTAAATGCTTGCTTCAGAAAAGTGAAATCTTAGATACATCAACAAAGACCAGAAATAAAATGATTTACTAATTAAATTTAGCAGAGTTATAAATATTCATTAGGAGTAATCTGAGAATTTTTCATCTTCCTGGTGAAATTTTCTGGTCTAGTATCTATTTCTTAACTGATTATTTAAACTAATTAGAAATTATATGGGACCTATTAGCTTTAACTCTGCATCTTGACCATAGGTTTCATCCCTAACCAAGACACCATTTTATAACTGCATGCCTTTGGCTATTAGGAAGGATTTAACAAGAGAGAGACTGTAATCCAGCAGATAGATTAGAGGAATAACTCAGGACAGTGTATAGCTCAGTGGTAGAGCACCTGCCTAGCATGTGCCAGACCCTGGGTCCCATCCCCAGCATTACCAAAAGAAAAAAGAAACTCAGTATATACCCTAGTAAGTGGATTAGTAGAATCTCCTAACATATATTATAAAAGAGGTTTTCCCTTCTGCCTATTTGTGTCACTAGAGCTAAATTGTAGAGATATTGTTCTTAATGTAGTAAATATCAGAATAATCTGCATTATCATTTGAATATCCCAGTGCTCTAATTACTTTTTAAAGCTCTTTATTTTCATATTATTTTAAGTCTCATTTATTAATAAAATTCTTTTTTTATTTTTTAGCATTAATGTTTTATATTTAGATTAAATGTTTATGGAAAAGTGCCTTTTTACCATGATAGTGCCCCTTTCTTATTTCATTTTTCACTGTTGCCAAAAACATGTAAAGAACTGGTTTTTCATTAAGTCCCAACTTTTACTTCATAAGTTCCTTTGACTTAAGAATAGCAGGAGAGATGCATTGCTAGAATTTGTCCTTAAGTAAAAGATTACTGGTTAGGCTAATATAAATTTGTCTTCATTTCAACTAACAATAGGTTTTACCTTAATACTAGTGAAATTTTTTTACTATGTGTGTGAGATGACATCTAAACAAATGGGTGGGTATAAATTGCAGGAAGGAACTGTAAAACATTTTTTTATGATCTTAGATAGATGCAAATAAATCACTAAAACATAGGTTAGGCAAGGCATGATGATGTCAGTTTTTCTATGGCAAAGCAGTTCGTTATAGTGCACTTCTTGCCCATCTGAGTTTCAGTAATTTGCCTAAGAAAATGTGTCAAAGGGAATATGGAAAAAGTTAGAGCTGAGTCTTTTCAGGCCTAAGAAAATAATTTCTTTTTACCAGATATAGTTGGATTGAGAGTCTTTCTGGGTTTGTTAATTTTGTTTTTCTTTCAGCCCCTCACCACAGGGATGGTGCTTGTAGAAAGGGCCATCAACAGCAGGTTAGGACTGTAGTACCTTTGTGATAGAGCTCCCTTCCACATGGAGAGATTTTTGTGACTGTTAGTGGCACTGAAGTCTATAAACCTTTATGCAATATTCTTAATAACCTGTTGACATTATGCACTTTAATCATTCCAAAGTAGCCAAAAATACTATATAGTAATGATTCTTTCCTAATGAATGCATCTTAACTATTTACTGTGTCCTTTTTTAATTTGAATATCTGACTTGGTGTAAGTGTTAATGTGTATATTCTCTGAAATAACTTTATAGTGGGACTTAAAAATGTAGTGGGCTATAAAAGAGAAATTATTGCACTTTAACAAATCATTTTAGAAACATTAAAATGTTACTAATCTATATGTTTGAGAATTAATTAAAACCCAACCACTTTCCTGTATATTTTGTGTCATATATATAAGAACATTATAGTATGAACTTTTCTACATGTAAACCAATGGTTCTAAAAGTATGATCCTCAGCCCCCAGCTAGCATCGGTGTCAACTGGAAACTAGTTAGAAATGCGCGTTCTTGGACGTTATCCTAGACAGACTGAAATGGAGCTGAGCAGATTGTTTTAACAAGCCCTCCAGGTTGTTCTGATGCACACTAAAGTTTAGAATCATTGGTATAAAATATATCTAGTGAGAGCGAGAAAGTTTCTTTTCCTACTCATGGAGATAAGATTATACATTGTCCTTTATGTAAATTCAGCTTAGTGGGTTATCTATAATCATTTATTGGCAATGATAATTTATTCTCAGTACTGCCTGAGAAACACATATATTTTATGTATACAGTTAATCTGGTTATTGATAATTCAGTTAACTTGGTTTGGCACTTTCCTACCACTTACTAAAAGTTTACATTAAATGACTAATTTAAATATATAGGTGCAATGTTCAGTATTTCTTTTGTTACCACATTTAAGTAGCTCAGATAATTAATGGGTGCTAACTTCTCCTGTTTATCTATAATATGGGTACATTGTAGGCAGTGTAATACAAGCTTTCTTTTCATTGCCTCTTATTTTACTAGCAGACCACAATTTTATTGTGGCTAGATCAACTCTCAGAACAAAATTATCATTCCTTATAATTATATTTGTATCTGAAATAGTAAATAAGATGGCTGGTGGGTCTAACCCAGCACCTTATATAATTTCTTCTTTTAATAGATAAAACTTCTTTAAATATAGCTTATGTCATACAAGAATGTTGCAGTAGAGATACAGGTATCCTTGGAGTTTATGTTTCAGATAAGAGTTGTTTACTAAAATAAATATTAAACAAGATAATGCATTATATAATTTGGGCATTTTTCCCTTTTCAGTTGTTAGCATCATGGTAAATGTAAACTAGCCACAAGATAAATAGATTTATTCATTTTAATTTCCTTGTCTAGTTCAGTACTTCCATAAGTATTCTAATCTTCCACTGTTTACAAATCACCAATTAATTAGCTCATGAAAGAAAAAATTCACTTTTCAGATTAAAAGTAAGTTCATAATCATTTTCTAAAAATCACCACTGCTATCCTTCCTTATTACTGGCAGTGGAAGTTTAAGTGGCTTATTCTACAAGCTTTGGTGCTAGTGAATTCATAGGCAAACTATTGGGAGATGCTCTAGTTACATTCCTCCTTTCTTATTCCCTTTTCCCTACTTTATTACATAATACTGTATATTCCTCTACCCAAAGAATTTTACCCTGATTCTTCTCAACCCCAATTTGTAATAACCTTTAAAATTTTTATGTTTAACCCTGTTACCCCTACTTGCTTACTCTCCTTCATTCTTTCCCCTCACCCTTAGAAATCATCTGCCTGGTTTGTAGAGACTGCTTGCTTATTATTATTTTAGCTAGTGCACCTCAGGACAGCATACACACAAACATACACATAAAAGATCTCAGATGTGTGAGAAAGGGATTGGGATCAGACTTCTGTGTCCAATAAGAACTGTCCTTGCCAAGTGTAGTGGCCCATGCCTGTAATCCCAGCACTGGGAGGCTGAGGCAGGAGGATCACTACAAGTTTAAGCCCAGCCTGGGCTACATAGTGAGTTCAGGGCCAGCCTAAACTACATAGAGAGACCCTATCTCAAAACAAATAAAAAACAATAATAACTGTCCTCCATTGAAGTGATCATGACCTAACTATTAACAGGCTGATTCCAAAAAACTTGCTCATTTCTTTTGCTCTAATGAATGTACCTACTCACCTTCTTCCCTTTCTTCCAATGATAAAAACTTGCTCATTTCTTTTGCTCTAATGAATGTACCTACTCACCTTCTTCCCTTACTTCCAATGATAAGCTCCAAGTGGTTGCTACTTTTTTGACAACTTTTTACTCAGTTTCATTCATGTCTTTTACTTAATCTTTAAGTATATTATGAATAGTTCATGAATCTGTTCTCAAGTGGTTTAGCTATCTTTCTGCCATTTTAATTTTTAATTTTATTTGCTTGAGCACACTGATCAACCACTGAACTGCCTTCTTCTATTGTCCTGCAGTGATATAAAGGTTACATTTTTGTGTATATGGCTTTCATAGTAGGGATTTCAGAGCACTGACACCAGATATTTTGAGTTTGTTCTCTGGGGGAATTTCATTTGCATCTATGTTTTTAGCTATCTGTGATAACTTGTTAAATATTAAAAAGATATTTTGCTTCTATTGGAACATTTGTATACTCGCAACTATATTTCTGTAAACAGCTGCAGTCAAAAATAAAACATTGAAAGTTTTCATTTTGCAGTAAGTTGTTTTTCTTCAAACTTTGCACTCATGCATGGGTGTGCAATACACATTGGTCTGTTTTGAGCAACACGAGTATGCAGTTGAAATTATATCATTAGGAAAGATGAAATGCAGAAATCTTTTTTTTTTTGGTATGGGGGATTGAACCTCAGGACCTTGCTTTTGCAAGGCACGCAGCGGCACCAGAGCTAAATCCCTGGCCCAAAAGTAGTTACTTTGTCCTTGCCATTCTTCTAGGAATACAGTGATGTATGATACATTATGCCATGCAGAATAAAACTTAGACTGAATCATTATTGTTCTATTTAGTTTGAGTGTTTTGTGTTAATAAAGTAGTACAAACACACTGAGGTGCTCCTGCCTGCAATGCTGCTCCTTCAGATAGCGAGTGTCTCACTGACAGGCTCACTCTAAGAGGTCCATGCTTAATAATGGCCTTATGGGAGTGGTCTCTCTTGATTGCTCTTATAAAAAAAACTCCCAGTACTGCCATTGGAACCCATTTGATCATTTAAATTTCTTCACAAGGCCAAGCATGACAGTGCATGCCTGTAATCCCATCACTTGAGAGGCTAAGGCCAGGAGGGTTGCTGCAAGTTCAAGGCCAGCCTGAATTAGAGCAAGAACCCTCCTCAAAAAACCTAAAAATATATTTCTTCACAAGAATGCAGCTCCATGAGCACAAACCCTTGGTTCACTGCAGTGTCCCTGTTGCCCAGAAGAGCACCCAGCTCGTTGACTTGGATACTGCTGAATAAATACTGCCCAAGCCACATGTTCACAGCATTATGTGTTATTTTGTTTTGTTCTCCCTACACTTTTTTTCGTAGCTCTTTTTAATGCCTTTGCACCCATTCAGAGGGTTTGAATGGTTTGTTCCATGACCATTCAATGGAAAGCTAGGCTAGTGAAACTATACCTAAGAAAGGGTTCAGGCCATGTTTTACTGATTTCCTCTGATCCCATCTCCACTAGAATGTCCCAGATGTCTCTATCACTAGCTTCACTAGTACCAATGAATATGGGTCTGTTGGTGAAAATGAATTTAATTTGGAATTTTCAGAAATTTACACAAGTGAAGATGAAGGCAGCAGAAAATACTTTTGACAGAAACACCCAGCTGTCTGCTATTGTGGATGTTGAGGGAAAACATCCAGTGCTAGACAGCATCCCATGAACAGGATCCTCCTACCCCACCCAGTGCCATCCTTTCTTTGGCAGATAAGAAAGAGACTGCAATTTTTAAGCCACCTACCTGGCTTTGCATCGTTTATTTTCTTCCAGTGCACCACAAGAGGGCAATGTTTCATCATAGTCTACTTCAATTGTACCCACAGTGGGAAGGCATACATTTCAAGAATTTAAATGGGAAATTCAAGTATTATGCCAAAATTGGGGGTAGTCCTGTAGCTTACTAGTAGAGCACTTGCCCAGGATGTGGAGGCCCTAGGCTCAATCCCAGCACCAAAATAATACTGTGCCTAAATTGTTTACCAAAATTAATAAAACTCTAGACCTACAACTTTATCTCAAAAATTATGGGATCAAAACATATCACTTTGGGCCGGGGATTGAGCTCAGTGGTGCTGCCTCCTGCCTCGCAAGCACAAGGTCCTGAGTTTAATTCCTGGTACCCAAAACAAAATCATTTAGCCAAGAATGCACATCACATTAAAATAATGCACATCTTTAGTCCCAGCACTGTGAAAGGCTGAGGCAGGAGGATCCCAAGTTTGAGCCCAGCTTGGACAACTTAGAAAGGCCCTATCTCAAAAATTAAAAAAGGAGGGCCAGGGATTTAGCTCAGTGGTTCCCCCAGCCTCACAAGCACAAGGTCCCAAGTTTGATCCCTGGTAGCAAAAAATTAAAAAAGTAAAAGCCAGGCATGGTGGCATATTCCTGTAATCCCAATACTTGGGAGGCTGAAGCAGGAGGATCACTGCCAAGTTTGAGGCTCGCCTATGCTACATACATCAGGACCAGCCTACATAGTGAGACCCTGTCTCAAAAAAAAAAAAACGTAAGGGGTGGGGATGTAGCTTAGTGCAAAGGCCCTGGCAATCCCTAGTACTAGGGTGGGGATGGAGGTGATCACTGGAAAGTTGTCAGTTTACCAAAGATACAGAAAATAACTTTTCAGGGCTGGGGGTTTAGCTCATTGATTCTGTCACCTGCCTTGGCAAGCGCATGGTCCCAAGTTCAGTCCCCTGTACAAAAAAAATAAAAAGAGGGCTGGGGATTTAGCTCAGTGGTTTCGGTGCCTGCCTCGCAAGCGCAAGGTCCCAAGTTCGATCCCCGGTACCAAAAAATAAAATAAAATAAAATTTAAAAAAAATTAAAAGAAAAGAATTTCAGCGGCTTATGTTGATCAGAAATAAGGTTTTCAGGCCAGGGATCTAGCTCAGTGGTTCCGCCGCCTGCCTCGCAAGCACAAGGACCCGAGTTTGATCCCTGGTACCAAAAAAAAAAATTACAGTTTCCTTCTTGAATTCAGTGTAGTTAAAGAGGATTGTGGATGTTGGTTTATTTTCTTGAAAACATTAGAAGAGTGAGGTAAAATGACTTTTATTAGCTATTCATTTCAAGGCATATGTGTGTATTGTATATAAACAACAAGTTGAAGAGTAATATTCATGTCAAGCATTCTAGTCACTTCTAGTAATTGAAACCAGTACCTATCATAAACGACTGGTGGATTTTAACAAGTGAATTCCCTTAAGCAGAGAGTTAGTCACTTCTTTTTCTAAGCAATTCGTTTCTGCCATAAACCATACAGAGGTAATTAAAATAGATGATTGGGGGCCAGGCATTTAGCTCAGTGCTTCTGCCACCTGCCTACAAGCACAAGGTCCCGAGTTCAATCCCCGGTATAAAAAAAAAAAATGATTGGAATGTTCCATACTGTCTAGCCAAAGCTAGCCTAAAACAAATTAAATTGTGTAGATGACTTTAAAAAATATTTTATAGCATCTTTCTGGAAACCTCTGCCTGCTTTACATCTCAGTTGGCCTCTGGCATCCAGATTTTGGTTATATGCCAAGACGTCAATAGTAAAAATAAGTTGCATTCAGTAGTAAAACTTTCTAAAAATATATAAATGCAGTCTGTTCCTTCTTATATTCATATCTTGTGAGGGGAAAAAAGATAAAAAGAAAAAAAACTTTAAAGAAAATGAAGCTGAAAAAATACCTAGATTTGACTACATGTTAGAAATCAAGTCCATCTTATTTTCTGGCTTTGATCTGGTTGTCAGTTGGAATGGGCTTGCCCAAATGATGGCCCACAGAAAGGCCAAATTTCTTGTTTTTCTGCTCATCTTGTACCTCCTTTTTCAGTAAGAATCCTGCCTGAAAATTTAGGTCAAAGAGGCTGCTTGGAGGAAAATATAGTGGTGCTTCATCCCATATATTCTCCAGGCGTTTCTTCCATCCTTCTAGGACTTGAGTTCGGACATCCAGTGGAGTGTGCCCAATGCTGTATGTCAGCTGAGGTTCTAAGACTTGGAAGCCACAAAAATGCAGAGTGCCACTCTGGGGAGATACAAGCCACAGAGGTAAATCACAACCCTGTGCAATTTGTACTATATAAACAAACACCAGAAGTTGGTCAGGGCTTCCCAGTGAGCCTCCGCTAAGGGACCTGGCTACACTAAATCATTTCTTAAATTGTCTAGGGCTCTTAGTGTCAGGGCATGGCAGAAAACTGGAGAAGCCCAGGAAGACTGGAGAGAAATGTGAGTCATCTGCACAGAACCAGAGACCAAATGCACTAGCCCTTGGTTAGGAGATGACGACGTCTGACCATGTGCACACAGGAGAATCCGTTCACAGTCGTATTCTCTCACCTTCCCAGCCTCACTCACTAGCTGTTACCTATTTTAGCCTATTCAACAGTACTCTTCTTTAAATTAATAACACCTTGAAAGTGTGCCAACTTGGCTCTTCTGCCAAAAGTTCTATTACATTAGGGAGAATTTAAGCTTCTCGGCAGCTGACTCTTGCCAAGCCATGTAGATGTGCATTTCTCTGCTTCTCCACCTAAGGAGTTGAGTCTTCAAAGATTCTTCAGGTGGCCACTTTACTCATTCTTCTCTCCAACCCTCTTCCTTAAAAGATTAGCTTGAGAGTCCAGCAACTCCAAAAGGCCCTCTCAGACTTTAGTCTTATCTCTGAAATGGGCTGGAATCATCATTTCTTTAATTGCGTAAGGCTTACATGGTCTGTGAGGCTGTACCAGACTACTGGAGAAGGCCAGGAAGATTAGAGGGAGGTCTGAGTCATCTGGAGGGAACCAGGGCCCTATTATTACTCTAATCTTCACATCTGAGTAGTTATCAGCTACTGTCTGGAGGTTTGGGGACGCATGGAAAGCTCAATTAATGAATTCCCCTGAAGGTTCATTGAGAATGAGGTACCTGAATTGGCCAGAGAATAACGTTCATGTCCCCATGGACACCCTGGAGAGAGTACATGGAGCCACTGCCACCAGTGGTGATGGAAAGAACAGCCTTTTTATTCTGGGAAAGAAAAAACAAGCTTCATCACCCCATCACTCTAATGAACCAGCCCCAGGGAAAGGGACATACAAGTCCATTTATTTGCTGTTTACGTTATCTCATGCTTTGTCTCCTCTGAGCCACAGAGAGCATGACTCTGCAGAAGATACAGCCTAGAAGTCCACAGACAGCAAACCAAGGGCAGGCCCAGGGCCCTGCATGGCTGTGTATGGCCAACAGGTCAAAGCTGTCACCAGAATCAGTGATGGCTGCTGGCTGCCCCTGTGGAGTTACTTGTTTTTCCCTGTCTCTCCACAGGCTAGGCATGCAGTAGTGTCTAGTTGTATTCAAAACTCTGCCTCCAGACAGAATCTACCCAGGATCCAGCTGTTAGGAAACTCAGAACCAGTCACCTACCTGGAAAGGCCCCTTGTCATACATGGCACCATATGTGTAGGCAAACCCTCCTATGAGCACTCGATCGAACCAGCCTTTCAGAATGGCAGGGACTCCAAACCACTGCAGTGGGAACTGTGGGACAGAAGACATCCAAGACTCAGATCGAGGACATCGCCCCTCTTCCCCCCATGCACAGCAGGTGGCTTAGGCTGCTTAGCGATGCCCATGATGTCACCACTGAAGGAACCCAGGCAGGCCTTTTATCATTCCCTCGGGAGGAGTTAGCATGTTTAAGAAAAGTGAAGGACTGAGGATATAGCTCCATGGTAGGAAACTTGCTTAGCCTACACGAGGCCCCTGCATAAGTTGGATCCCAGCATCAATAAAAAAGCTGTGTTTGACACTACATACCTGTAGTCCCAATTACTCAGGAGGCTGAGGTGGGAGGATGGCTCAACCCCAAGAGTTGGAGACTAGCCTGGGCAACATAGCAAGATCCTGCCTCAAAAAACAAAAAATGAATAAAAAATAAGCCGGGCATGGTAGCACATACCTGTATCTCAGCACTGGGAGGCTGAGGTAACACATTCATGATGTGGCTGTGATTCATATGTCTTGCTGCCAGGTGACTTGAACCACAGGTCATACATGCATGACTGTTCCATCGGGCAGCATGGAACAGTCCCATCAGTGGTACAAGCCACCCAAGGGGACAGTCATACATGTACCACCAGTGGTCGAGCTGGTGGGATGTGTTAAACCCAGTCTGGGGAACTGTTTGGGGTTTTTTTGGTTTTTTTTTTTAGATAGGGTCTTGCTATGTAGTTCAGTCTGGCCTGGAACTCTATATGTAGCCCAGGGGGCCTTGAACTTGTGGCAGTACTCTTTGTCTCAGCCTCCTGATTACAGTTATGCCCAGGCATGTGCACCATGCTGAGCCCATTCTGGGGCACTTACCAAGACCTTGTCTCAAAATATAAAAAGAAAGGCTAGGCTTCTAGCTTAATTTGAAGGCCCTGGTTCAATCCCCAATATCACTAAAAAAAAAGAAACATATGGCACCATCCAACTCACAGAATAACAAAAAAAGAGAAAAAATTATTTTCCTTGTCCAGCCAACTTGGCACTCCAGTCTCTGCCTAAAAATACAAATATTGTCTGGGTCTAAAAGCCACATGAAATAAGATTTCTCTGAAATTACACTTGGCAGGAAAGTCTAAATAGTAAAGATTGCAGATAAGTTGTCTTCAGTGTGTGATTCCTAAATATTTTTCGAAGAGCTTAAGGTAATACCTATAGTACCAAATATGTGACTGTCCCCTGTGTGCATGGATGTAAAACCCTGTCATTTAGAATAAACAGAAGTACTCAAAACTGTATGTGTGCACGCATGCACATGCGCACATGTGTGTGTGACTGTGGTTTATCAGGGAATTCTCATGACAAAATCTTAGCTGGGTGTAATGACTCATGCGTACAATCCCAGCTACTAGTGAGGCTGAGGCAGGAGAATTGCAGGTTTGAGGCTAGCCTGTGCAATTTACCAAGACCCTGTCTCAAAATGAAAAAAAATGGCTGGGGATATAGCTCTGAATTCCTTAGCTAGGTTCAATACACAGTACTAAAAAGCGGGAGGTGGGATTTGTAGAAAGCTAATTGTAATAAATAGCCTTCTCCCATATTTAAAGAGTTAAGCCAGGTGTGGTGGCACACGCCTGTAATCCCAGCACTCTGGAGGCTGAGGCAGGAGGATTGCCATGAGTTCAAGGTGACCCTGGGCTACACAATTCAAGGCCAACCTGAACTACATAGCAAGACCCTGTCTCAAATTAAAAAAAAAAACAAAAAATATTTAAAGGGTTGTTGATTTACAGAAAAGGGGCTATAAGGCTCATTGTGTAACAAAACACACAGGATTGACAGCAAGGTTTGTAGTTGTGCACTGAATCTGCCACTTATGTGACACGTGACCTTTGCTACACAAGCCACATAGGTTCTGTTTCATTTGCCTCATCTGTGAAAAGATGTGCTTGGGTGGTCTCAAGTAGCTTCTCACATCTCTTATCTCTGGCTCTCCAAGGCCAAGGGGCCAGATCTGCAGCTGTTAGCATCAGTGACTGGGTTTGTTTAGGCAAGGAGATTTGGTCCCCTGTGAATGTTCTGCAATCAGAGCTGAAAACAGAACTGGTTGGCTTGGAGGTATTAAAAGTTTACTGGTGCTAGGGCTGTAGCTCAGTGGTAGAGCACATGTTAGCGCCACAAAAAGTTTGCTGTCTCTCAAGTTGCTCTTGGAGAAGTGAGAACAATGAGCAGGAACCCAGCCCTGACAGTTCCTTGGTATGAACTGACACACTCCTTTCTCAGGACACTTTCTTTACATGTTGAAAGACTGCCATAGCACATTGATTTTGCTAGAATAAGGCCTTCTCTGTGATTTGTCAGAAAACTGTTATAATAAACACATGCATCTGCAGTGTTTACATTGTCCTTGGATGTGCTGTTTGGCAGCATACAACCTGCACAGTTATACTGACAGTGAAGAAAACTTATGCACCAGATAGAAGCTAAATCTAAAGGCCACCAAGATCCTTTCCAATTCTAAGATACAGTGATTTTGAGATGAGAACTGAAAGCTACTCCTGCTGGTGCCTTGGCTGTACAATAAGATGCAGTTAAAAACAAAACTGGACAAACTGGACATGATGGTCCACACCTGTAACCCCAGCACTTGAGAGGATGAGGATCACTGTGAGTTCAAGGCCAGCCTGGGCTACATAGTGAGCTCATGCCAGTGTGAACTATATAGTGAGATCCCATCTCAAAAAACAAACAAATGTGGATCAACATAAATCAGTGATGACGAACCTTTTAGAGCTTTCAATGATACACAACAGCCCACAGCGGCATGCGTGCCATAGGTTCACTACCACTGACACAGATCAAATTGATTACTGGCTTTTTGGTTTGATTGTTTTTATTTTTTTGAAGCAGGTTCTTGCTATGTATTTTAAGCTGGTCTTAAACTCAGTATGTGGGGCCGGGGATTTAGCTCAGTGGTTTCACCGCCTGCTGTGCAAGCACAAGGACCCGAGTTCGATCCCGGGTACCAAAAAAAAAATTTAAAAAAAAACCTCCAGGCTGGCCTCGAACTTGTGGCAATCCTCCTGCCTTGGCCTCCTGAGTATAGGTGTGTGCCACCACAGCTGGCCTCAGTGTAGATCAAGGAGACATTCTGTTCTTTTTTTTTTTTTTTTTGGTACCGGAGATTGAACTCTGGACTTTGCAAGTCAGGCGCCAGAACCACTGAGCTAAATCCCCGACCAAGGAGACATTCTGTGCAGCTCAGTGGTAGAACACTTCCCTAACATGTGTGAGGCCCTTAGTTCAATCTCTAGCACTGCAAAAACAAACAAACAGAAGACATCTGTGGGTCACTGGCTAATGTCATGTAGCATTGATTCATAGTCACAAGCCTGAGGGTCTGAGAAAGAACTTTTAAGGACTGGGTGCTTTGCAGCTGACTGCATAGTTGCAAAAACTACAGCTTTTACCACCTTCCTTGGGAAGTGTCCAGAGCCATATATACTCCATGTTCAACATCAGTGTGGGGCTGGGGATGTAGCTCACTGGTAGAGCAAATGCCTCACATGCCTAGCATGCCCTGGGTTCAATCCCCAGTACCTGGAGGAAAAAAGAAAGCCTGGTGGGAATTGGTAGCAGCAAAGAGATTGGGAACAGCCTGGCGTTTACAGAGAAGAAAACTGTCAAGATGCACACACAGCCCCAATACTCACACTAAATGGTGAGATAGCTTTGGGGAGAAGGCCATAGGGCATTGCTTGAACACACTTTGCAGGGCCAGCTCCCCAGCTTTGTGCCAACAGAGAGGTCATTGTCTCACATATCACTCCACAAACTGGGACACTCAGAGAGGGGGCATAATCAGCTAGATTGACAAAAGCTGTGAATCTGTACAAGGCTATACCTTTGGGGGTTTTTTTAGACGGGGTCTCACCATATAATTCCAGCTGGCCTCGAACTCACAAGGGCTGGGATTACAGGTGTGTGCCTCCATGCCTGGCTAATCCTGCACCTTTGAAGCTGTCACCCGTGTTTACAGGGAATGCAGCAAAGTGGTGACTATTCCAAGATTCCACAGGTAATTAGGTGACTAGTTAAGAAGTCAGGTGTCCTAGACACCTCTTATGATGTTGTCCCTGCCATACCTGAAATATCACAAGGTCTGCAGCTTCCACCTTCTTTTGCTCAGCCACAATATCCGGGCTCAGGCGGCTTTCTTTATAAGCTAGAGCAGTCTCGGCTGGATACTGAAAGTTCTCAGGGTCCTTCAGTGTACCTGCCAAGAGGAACAGGAGAGTCTGAGGCCAGAGACCCAGGCTTATCCCACAGGCAGGTGGTTCCACAAAGCGCAAGGGGGGTCCTACCTGTGATGTCCTTTCTGGAAATGATGGGATTGAAGTTCATGGCATAGAGGTCAGACTCAGCCACTTCCCATCCTTTCCTCTTCAGCACCTCTACGGCAGCCTCCTTCATGGCACAGTTGAAGGATGTCCTCTCTGAGTGAGCCAAGATGATCAGTGCTTTCCTGGTGACTTAGACATACACGAGGCATATGGAGGAGACCCAGCACAGGCTGAGTATCCCTTACCCTACGGAACCTTTAGATGTATTTCAGATTTCAGTTTTTCAGAATCTCACTTTATAGTTCAGGCTGACCTTGAACTTGCAGCAATCCTCCTGCCTCTGCCTTCTAAATGCCAGGATTTTGGTGTGTGCCACCATGCCTGGCTGTTTTGGACTTTCTGCTTAGGGATGCTCCACCTGTACCAACTGGGGGCCATGAAGGAAGAGGTGACTATCAGACACTGGGTTATTGCAAAATCCATTTGTCCATTTGCTGCTGCTACCACTGAGTACCACAGATTGGGAAATTTATAACCAAGAAAGACTTATTTAGCTCACAGTCCTAGAGGATGGAAGGCCAAGAGGCTGCATCTGGTGAAGGACTTCCTGTTGGTGGGAATTCTCTGCAGAGTCCTAAAGTAGTGCAGGGGAACCCATGGCAAGAAGGACAAGTACAAGACAGACTTGAACTGGCTTTCATGATAGACTCACTCTACAATAACCTAGGACATCACTCCACTAATCCATGAATGGCTTCATTCATTCATGAGCACAGAGGTTTCAGGACTCAACCAAGTACTTTTTGGGGGGTGGGGAGGTACAGGGAATTGAACTCAGGACCTTGCGCCTGCAAGGAAGGTGCAGCGCCACTGAGCTAAATCCCCAGCCTGAACAAACTTCTTGTAGATCCCCTCCTACCTCTATCCCTTTGTGCAGTACTGGGATTGAACTCAGGGCCTTCACACTGAGCTATATCCCCAGTTTCACCCCCACCACCCCCATTTAAAAAATGATGTTGTTTTAAAGGAATAGGGGAAATGGAAGGGATGGGGAAAAGAAAAAATACGAGAAAAGGAAAAACGTGGAAACAAATTATTTGTAGAAAGGGAAGGGTAGAGGGGTGAAGGGAAGGCCGGGGAATGGGGAAAAAATAAGAACCAAGACACATCATGTAAAGGTGCAAGATCCCAATGATGAATGTAACTATATTGTATACCTAAAATGTACCAATAAATAAACTTAATAAAATAAAAAATTTTGTTGTGTTTTTGAGACAGGATCTTGCATGTCATTCAGACTGGCATTGAACTCAATATGTAGCCCAGACTGACCTCTAACTTGTGGGGATCCACCTGCCTCAGCCTACCAAGTGCTGAGATTATAGGTGTGTGCCACCATGCCTGCCTTTCTTAAATTTTGAGGTAGGGTCTTGCTAAATTGTCAAGCTGCTCAGCCTGGGCTTGAATTTTCAATCCTCCTGCCTCAGCCTCCCAGATAGCTAGGATTATAGGCATGCACTACCATTCCCTGCTTGGTCCCAGCCTTTCCATACCTCACAAAGGGAATCCAATTTCAACATGAGATTCAGTGAGGACATGGAAGTCACAGCACCACCCCCTACAGCCAGAAGTAAAAGTGCCAGCAAGTGGGGCTGGGGTGGAGCTCGGTGGCAGGGCATGTGCTTTGCAGGTTGGAAGCCCTGGGATTTGATTCCCAGCATGGGAAGGAAGAAAAAAAGTATTAATGAATTAAAAGAGGCATTCAATAAATGATTGAATAAATGATGTTGGCATATTAAATAGCCACCTCTATGAAGATAAAATGATCCCCTTAGAAAACTAATATAGGTGTTAAAAGTCAGTTATAGTGGTTAGTCTGGCCCTTGGGAAGTGACTAGAAGGACACAAAAATAACTTTTGTGGTGCTAGCAACATTGTGTTTCTTGATCTGGGATTTTCACTTGGCAAAAATCTACTTAGTCCTTGTGTTTGGATTGGACCCAGCCCCTTGAGCAGGCTAGGCCAGTGCTTGTCACTGAACTACATCCCCAGCACCCTGGGACCTGTAAAAAGCTTATGCTTTTAATTTCCCCACAAATTTCCAGGTGGATTAATATCCTTTTTTTTTTTTCGTTTGAGACAGGGTCATACTGTGCAGTCCCAGTGGGCCTTGAACTTACTGTGTAGCCTCAGCCTCCCAGAGTGCTGGGATTATGGGTCTGCACCACCACACTGAGCTGAAAATCATATTTATTTATTTATTTATTTTTTGGCACCCGGGGATCAAACTTGGGACCTTGTGCTTGTGAGGCAGGCACCGGAACCACTGAGCTAAATCCCCGGCCCTGCACCATTCTTTTCATTGCAAAAATTAGATACAACCTGGTTGCCTACTAATGAGGAATATCTGAATAAACTGGCTCTATCCATACTACAGGATTGGAGTGGGGGTGTTTGTTTTTTTGAGACAAGGTTTTGCTTTTGTAGTCCAGGCTGGCCACTATCCTTCAGCCTCGGCCTCCCAAGAGCTAGAAATACAGCCACACACCACCTGGTTTGCTACAGGATACTTGGTTATTAACAAAAAACTCAGAGGGACTGGAGTTGTAGCTCCCAGGCCGGGCGCTTGCCTAGCATGGCTGAAGCCTTGGGTTTGATCACCAACGTTGGGAAAAAAGAAAAAGAAAAAGGGTAAGAAGCTCAAAAAGATATCCATGCTATATTGTTAACTGATAAAAAAGCAAGTGAATGTGAATCTATTTTGTATCTGAGAGAAGGAAAACTACATATATGTAGATTTTAAGTATATTGGTGTGAGAGGGAAAAGATAAGGAATGATCACAAACTAGTACATCTTTTTTAACTTTATTTTTTATTTTTATTTATTTATTTTTTGGTACCAGGGATTGAACTTGGGTCCTTGGGCTTGCAACGCAGGTGGAGGAACCACTGAGCTAAATCCCCAGCCCTAACTATTAATTTTTGTAAACAAGAGATGGCAAAGAGGTAGAGGCAGGGAGAAAGACTGACTTTTTCTTGGACTTCCTCTTCTATAGTAGTGAACTTGTTAAACAAGCTTCACTTTTGCAATAGCATTTAATGGGTGCGGTTATGTGGTGCTAGGTACTGCTGTAAGGGCCTGGTTTCTTTTTCAGTTGTCACAACAGCCCACCCAGGTAAGAATGACACCAAGTGTCACATGTCTCCAATATTACAGTAGAAGCGGTGGCTCCTATAGGAGACAACTGGGCCACGAGGGCTCCTTGCCCATGAATGGGACTGAGGTCTTTATAAAGGATGCCTGCCGCCTGCCACTATGCGGGGACACAGCGTTGCTGCTCCCCTTGGAGGATGCGGCTCTCACCAGACCATAGAACCTGAAGACGCTGGAGCTGGGACTTCCAGCCTCCAGAACTATGAGGGAAAACAAAGTCTGTTCTTTATAACTTGGCTGCTCACAGGTATTGTTACAGCAGCAGCAAACGGACCAAGATAGGACCCTCTGGGGTAGATCCAATTAGAACGCCATGCTATGGGTGAGAAAACAAGGCCCAGAAAAACTAAGGAGGGACCCAAGTTTACGTACGAAGTGGTAAAGTTGGAAAAACTTAAAAATATACAGATGGAGGAAAACACAGCTACTAGTATGCAGGGGAGGCAGGGATGTTTACTACGACAACTGCTCCTGGTGTTCTGTGCAGTGACTTCATGTCCTGGGGACCCAGTCCTGGTGACCAGGGGTAGAGGTGGGAGATAAAATAAGGCTCCTTCGGTTTTCCATTTTGAGTAACTCCAACAGAAAGGCACGTTTAAGCCGTCAGTCCTCTTTCTGCTGTATGAACCACACCTGGCAGGGTCAAGCACAGTGCAAACTTCTGTGCCCATTCCCCCAAACATGCGGCTGTCCAAGTTGAACCTTGGACTCTTTAAACTAGACCTCAGTGGAATATTAGTTTGATGGAGATTTGAATGTTATGGAAGTGATTTATCTGCTTTGAGCGTCCCTGGAAAGGGGGAAGTAATTAGCAAATTTTCACCCCCTTTTTTTAAATAAATTTTTCCTACTTTTTCTGGGTTTTTTTTTTTGGTACCTGGGATCGAACTCGGGACCTTGCACTTAACTTGCAAGGCAGGCGGCAAAACCACTGAGCTAAATCCCTGGCACTCACCCCCTTTTCAATTCATGGATTTAACACTACTGGGAAAAATATGACCCTTTTAGCTCTGATACACATTTTCTTTGTGATTTACCTTTACATTATCAACGCTTACTAAACACTGCTTTGCCCATTTTTATTCTGCTGACTATGGATATTAAGCATTTCCTGAGTGATGAAACAATGAAGGAACTTCGCAGAAAATAATCAAGTCAGGATATCCACCTCCTGCTCTAAGAGCTCTCCTTTCAGAAATTTAAAAAAGAGAGCTAGCTGGCACACACCTATAATCCCAACTATCTGGGAGGCTGAGGTAGGATTGAGAGTTTGTGAACAGCCTGGCCACCTAGAGCTCAGGTTTCAAAAAAATAAAAAAGGGCTGGGGATGTAGGCAAGTGGTAGTGTCTCTGGGTTTGATCCCTAGCATCATTTCTTTTTTAAACATGCATTTTTAATGAACAGACACTTAAGAGTAAATCAGTAGGCCCGGGGATTTAGCTCAGTGGTGCCGCTGCCTGCCTTGCAAGTGCAAGGTCCTAAATTAGATCTCCAGTACCAAAAAAAAAAAAGTAAATCAGGAGATTTATTACCAAAAGTTAATAATGCTGTGTTACTAGTTTCCACACCTTTTTTTTTTTCCTGTTACTGGAGGAAGCTTTATTAGAACTCGAGGGGCAGCATGAATGTGAGGGAAGAATATGCCCACTGACCCTCAAAGAATATGCGGACTTTTTGTTTCAATCGAGATAAAAGACAATAAAATGACACAATAAAAGACAATATAATGGGACACAGGAGTAAAGAGAAGACAGAGGAGAGGAGACCACACCGTGTAGCCAGGCGGGCTCCAAGGTGCAGGGCAGGGTGCAGCCGGGCCTGGGAAGGAGGACAGGTACGGAGAGGCACCAGCGGGACGCGGGGCCCTTCTCTCCGGCTCGGCGTCCTGGGGCCGTGCTGCTCTGGGACAGCAACCAGGTGGGGTGGGGACGGACGCTGCTCCCCCAGTGCGAGCAGGGGTGCCCACTGTGGGTGGGCCGTTGTTTCTGGTCAGTGGTAGGACGATGGGCTCTTAGGTCGGGGCGTTCCCGTTGGTTTGGAGGGAGCGTCGCTGTGTTGCTGAAATACCTCACGGGCATGGAGAGTGGCGGCGGGCGGTTGTGGGCGCCCGGGTGGGTCTGGGTGGGCATGAGGCACCCAAGGGGCCAGGAGGTGGAGAGGCCAGGGCTGCGGGTGCAGAGTCTGGGTGGGCGGCCCATCCGCGGTGGGCCCATCGGTGAGTGGGGTGGGCTTGGCGCAGGCCCAAGGCGAAAAGGAGAGGAAGGGAGGGAGGCAAAAGCCTGGAACACCCGGAATTCCCAAGGATACCTTAGGGGTGGGCAGGCAGCAGAACAGCGGGGAATTCTAAGGGTCCCCGGTTGATGCCACTGAAATGGACCAATACCAAACCTAAGGGTCACAATGTCTCCCGGGCCAGGCTGCTTGGAGTTGGGCCTCCTCTCTCTCAAACCAAAGACAGCCGGTTCCCCAGCTCCAGCCCCTGCTGTGGTCAGATACTCGCATTTTCTCCAGAAGCTGGAAATGCATACTTGTTTAGTGAAACCATCTATTTGTAATTTACATATTAGCAGCTTACTCTAAAATGTTTTAAATACGACAAGGCCAAAGGAGCTAGGAACAGTGGGTCACATTTGGCCTTTGAAGGTTAGTTTCCAACCTGGCTTGGAAGGACTTTTTGTTTTCCTGGGAAAGTAATGATTGCCCTAAACGTCCGCCAGTTTGTAAGGGCGGATTAAGGGGGGATCTGCCGCTCTGGGTAGTAACGGGAGCTCCCCTTCTCCGAGAAACTGGTCAAGGATCATCCCCTGACCCGAACTTTTCCTTTTCAGTTTTGGGCCAAGAAACAAAACAAAGCCTTCGCCCTGGAATTCTCTTCCACACCAACGAAGCTGAAGCTCAGGAGACGGGAGTCTCACCGCACGTAGCACTCACCCGCCATGGCTTCCACCGAGTGCCACAGAAGTGCGGCCTCCCGAATGTTGATTGGCTGGACCGCTGGTTGCCGGGGCGACCTGGCCTAGGCTGCAATTCAAAGGTGTCCCAAATGCTGGGTGCAGAGCTCCGCCACCCCTTTATACCCCGCCTGGCCCAGCCCCCAGGACCCGGAAAGCCAACGAAAGTGGGTGGAGCGAGGCGTGCGCCCCCTGGGCACTGAGCAGAGGACTGCAAAACTGAGCAACCCGAAAGGGACGCGGACGCGGGGCACGGAGTAGACACCCTTGGACGTGGAAGTCCAGAAGGGTCCTTTGGGGGCTTAAGAGTGAGTGCAGCCTCAAAGACCTGAATGGGGGTGGGAGGCAAGCCCATCTGCTCTCTGTCCTGGGACCCCTGGGTGTCAGACCTGCCCAGGAAAAAGAAAAGAAAAACTCCCTGCAAGGTGCGAAAGATAACAGCCAAGACAAGGGCTCAAGATAAACGGCATCCGCGTCCCCTACCAAACCACAAGACCTCCTCTGCCCCAAGACAAAAATTTCCCACTCCTCCGTGGAGTACCCATCCCCTCCCCAAACTCCCCTACAAAGTTTCACCTCACCCATGCACTCCCTCCCCGTCAAGTCCTGTCGCCTTTGACCCTCCGGCACCCAGGCTGAAAATAAAACCTCGCTTGTTGCTTCATTTTTGCCTGCTCTGGTGGTCTCGTGCCTCGGGTTACCTTATCACTGGGGTCACAAAGGACAAGTTTCAACTGGAGGCCCGTCTCTGTTAACTATGCCCACCTGGCCTCTCCCAGCCCTGGCAAAGCGCCTTGGCACGGAATAGGGCAAAGAACAGGGTGGAGCTGAGTTAGGGTCAGATTCTGCTGAGTCACTGTGACTCCAGCAGGGAGATTTGCTCCTTGGAAATTAACTACTTTCTCCTGTGTCTGTCTGTCTCTCTCTCTCCCTCC